GGCGTGGGATGGTTCCATTTGATCCAAACAGAGAACCTTGTCCTCTTGTACAGGTAAGTTTTCCTCATGGATTCTCTTCTATGTTAATTAGTATCCGTTTTACTCTGAGCAGGTATTTTTGGCATTTTGGAGCCACAAAGGAGCTACGCCTAGAGGTGGAGTTTGTGTGGATCGCGATTTAGAACCCTGCTGTGATGTTGAGTGAGAAGATTGTGTTGCAGGGGAAAAAGGTGAGGCTCCGCTATTGCTAATCTATGCAGGTTAGGGAACCAAGTTTGCCTTGAGCATGCTGGTGCAACCAAGACCATATGAGCACGTTCTTGTCAGATTTTCGTTATAATTCTGAGTATTAAGAGAATCGGTGGGAACACATATAGGAGGATTACATCCCATTTCATGGAGAAAGTGTCTCCTAAAGACCTCTTTCCCAGGGCTGCTCTGGAGCAGAATTGATGGCGTTTTCGGTTGGCTCTGGTTGCAAATAGATCTATGTCCAGCTGCCCCCATTTGAGGAATACCTCCTTGAGGGCTCAAAAGTCTATCTCCCATTCATGATGGTTGGGGAAGATGCAGGTGAGGGTGTTTGCCATCACACTGAGTACCCCTGGGAGGTAGGTAGCTATAGGGGTGATGTGGTGTGTAACAGACCAGTTCCATAGTCTCAGTGCTTCTATACACAGGGAAGTAGACTGGGCCCCACCCCGCTGGTTGATATAGTACAGTGGTTCCCAAACATTTTGGCATCACACTCCCTTTTTGATTTGAGAAACCCTTACACGCACACCCCAAAAAATAGCAGCAAAACTTGTTGGGGGGGAGGGGCACGAAGGGAGAGCGAGAGGAGAGAGAGAAAAAAAAAAAGAAGGAACTGACCAGGGCCGAAAAACAGTCATGGCCCCCTTTAATTCCTGAGACCAGTGTAAAAAAGGTGCCAGGACTCCAGGGGAAAAGTTGTTGACCCAAATAAACAAACTCGCTGAGCTGTGCGAGTTCTGGAGGATGCTGGAGCCAGGAAAAACAGAAAATACTTGACATTTCACATGATATTTTCTGAGTATTTTTACCAGACAGACCAGGCTCTTTCTTGGAGGGAGGACTGACCGGCGGGGGAGAGAGCAGGGGCGGTCCTGAGTCTCCTTGTGCTCCCCCCGCCCCCGGAATTTCTTCACGCCCCTATGATATAGTACATGCATATGGTATTGTCTGTCATGACAGTGATTTTCTTGTGAGCTATGTACTGTAGGAAGTGACAGCATGCATAACGGACTGCCCTGAGTTCTAACAGGCTGATGTGGACTGTTTGTTTGCTGAACGACCATTTGCCTTGTACAGTATGGGGTTCCACATGGGCCCCCCATCCCATAAGGGACATAGCTGTTGTGATGGTAACCATGGATACCCCCATAGTATGTTTGTTGGGTCTGTCCAACAGTTCAGAGAGATGAGGATGCTGTGGTAGAACAGTCAGTTTTGGAGAGGGGATATAGAGTGTAGCTAGCCAAGCTTGGAGGTCTGGCCAATCGCACCACAAAAGTGGTTGCAGCCATGTGACCCAGGATTTTGAGGCACTGGTGCACTGTTGTCGTTGAGGTTGCGCATGCCGCGGGTATGAGGTTCTGGAGGGCCCCAAATCTGTGCTTGGGCAGCATTGCCTTGGCTGATATGGTATTGATTCATGTTCCTATGAACTCCAGAGTTTGAGTGGGTTAAAGTGTAGATTTTTCGTAGTTTATGAGAAAGCCAAGTTTGAGTAGGAGGCTGATGATCCTATTGACCCTAGTTAGTGTTTCTTGAAACAATAAGCCCTTTATTAGGCAGTCATCGATGTATGGGAATATTATCACTCCCTGACAGCATAGGTGTGCTGTAACAACAGCCAGAGTCTTGGAGAAAACCCTAGGGATTGTCAAAAGGCCAAATGGGAGAATGTGATATTGGCAGTGTTGGTCTCCCACCGTAAAGCGTAGGAAACATCTGTGAGCAGGATGTATCATTACGTGGAAGTATGGCTCTCGATCTTCAGGACACAATCTCCCTGATCCACGGCTGGAATAACTGTTGCTAATGTCACCATCTTAAACCTTCTGTATGTTACGTTATGTTACATACTTGTTGAGCCTCCTTAGATCTAAAATGGGCCTTCATCCGCCAGTTTTCTTTTGAGTTAGGAATTATGTTGAATAGAATCCCCTCTCTTGAAAAGCTGTTGGCACTAGCTCTATCACTCCTATATGCAGAAGGTGTTGGACCTCCTGTTTGAGGAGGATGTCGTGAGAAGGGTCCCTGAAGAGGGATGGGGAGGGGAGATGAGTAGGGAGATAGAGATGAAGGGGATGGAATCGCCCACTTTGATGAGCTCTAGTACCGTCTGTCTGATGTTATTTGTGCCCATTGGTGTAAAAAGGGGCAGAGGCAGTGACTGAACTGTAGCTGCCCAGTTAGTGAAGTGCCCATAGCAGGGTTGTGTGTCTGTCTTCCAACCAAACCTTCAAATTTGTTGTTTAGATGAAGAAGGCTGAATTGCTGTTGGTGCTGAGGTCATCACCGTTGCGTCTGTGTTTTTGTCTAACATCATAACAAGGTTGTTGTCTCTACTGCTCCGTAGGTCTCAGATAGGTGTTGTATCGGATTCTCTTATTAGGTGGTGTATACATGCCAAGAGTTCTTAGCATTGTATGAGAGTCCTTCACAGAGTGTAAGACTTCATATGTTTTTGCAGCGAAAAGGTTAGTTTTATCGAATGGGAAGTCTTCGACTTTGTGTTGTTGTTCCCTAGGTACACCAGATGCCTGGAGCCACAAAGCCCTATGCATGATGATGGCGGTTGCACTGGTACACACTGTAGTGTTGGCCACGTCCATAGCGGATTGTAATGCAGTGCGTGAGATGGTGTGCCCCTCCTTCATAATACTAAGGAGCATTTGTCTTTTGTGCTCCGGCAGGGACTAGAGGAGCTCTTATAGCTTGCAGTAGTTCGTATACTCATAGTCGGCAAGCATGGCAGTATAGTTAGCTGCCCTTAATAGTAGGATCGCCAACGAGTATATCTTTCTGCCCATGATGTCAAGCCTCATGTGCTCTTTGTTTTGGGGAGCAGATCTCATGCTTGGTTGTGTGGCCTTGTGTATGGCTGAATCGACCACCAGGTAGTTAGGTGGTGGGTGTGGAAAAAGAAAGTCCGTGCCATTAGGTATGCTGAAGTATTTACGGTCAGCCCTCTTGTTGGTGGGCGTAATCAATGCTGGGGACTACCAGATATAATCAGCAGGATCCATGATGGCCTCATCCATTGGAAGCGCGATTCTTGAAGACGTCAGAGGTTGCAGAGTACTCAAAAATCAATACTGTTTTACTTGTACCTCTTGCAGGTTGCATTTCTGTGTTAGGGCCACCCTCTTGAAGAGTTCTTGGAATTGTTCTGAATCATCGGATGGTGGTGGAGTTAGGTCTCTGGGTGCAGGCTGAGGAGATTGTGGTGGTCTCTTGGATGGTGTGGAAGGAACAGTGTGGTAGCTCCTGTGAGAAGACCAGATCTCAGGGATGCCACTGGCCAGAGTAAGGAGATGGTAGGTAAGGCCAATTATGTGAGTACCAGGGAGGTGGTGGTGGTGGTGGATGCAATGGTTTGGAGGAGTGGGACTACCAAGGAGTGTGTCGCTGAGTACAGCTGGAATGTTGAGAAGAAATACTACTATGCGGAATGCTTCCAGCCTCACTTAGTGAAATAGATGGTACTGGTGAATGAACAGAATACGCCGATGCTGATGGAGATGGCAGTGCTGATGAAGCGCAGGCTAGCGTTGGTTTACAATCCTGTGCATGGTCAAGTGATGGTGCCAAGGCTGAATGTGCCATGGTCAGTGCCGCTGATAGCATCGATATGGTGCCTTTGGAGGCAGCATCTCAGTGCTCGGTTTCTTAAGTGCTTCATGCAGTGCTGCCTCCTTGTGTTGCTTTCGCCATGTATTTGTGGTGTTTAGCCAGCACCGTGGATTCAGCCAGTGCGGCTGATGTTTTCTGCCTGGGCTCCAAATGAGCTCTCTTCTGCAGCACTAAGTGTTTAGGCAGTGCCATGCCAGAAGCCAGGGCTTATCGCCAATGCTCACTCTAGCAGAGCTTAGTGCTGGCGGTTGCAAGTTTGCAGGGGAAACCCGGGTTCTGGCTTTTGATTTGTCAGATGAGGTAGAGGGACGATCTTTGACTAATTTCTTGCCTCTGGGGGAGCGAGTCGGCATGCAGTGGCTGAAGCTATTTTTCATATAAAGTAGGTCTTCAAGCTTATTGGCGCAGTTGTGTAGTGCTCTAGCAGTGAGACTTGAGCAGTGTGCACACTTCTCCATCAACTGGGCCTCCCCAGCCACCTTATGTAGGAGGCATGCCTTTCAGAGACAGGCACAGCCTGCCGGCAAGAATCACAGCGTTTGAAGCCTGGAGAGCCAAGAATGGGGAAAAACGGGGTGACGAACACTGAAGAACCACTGCTGTTGGGTTTTTTTGAGGAAAAAGGGGTTTTTTTGGGGGGGGGAGGTTAAGAGAAGTAAAAACTTGGAATTAAGGAGAAAACTGAGGAGAATTAACAAATGTTATTGGTTTTTTAGGTGAGGAAAAGGTAAGTCAACAAAGCTCCATCTGCCACCAAGGACAGCAGAGAAGGAACAGAGTGCCGTGTGGCACGTGTGCCTAACAGACACCAATGGCACAAGGAGGATCCATGGCACATGAGCGGCATGGCAGGGCACTGCTAGAAAAATCTCTGGTCACTGGCGCAGGGATGCACCAGCACCCAGAGCAGAGCACTCATGGGGACATCACTCGATAAATTAACTTTCTGAAAGTGGTAACAATCAGATTTCCAGATTAAATGTGAGGTGGAAAGCAAAGTTTGAGGTGGTATTAGTCAAATATTTCAAATATTAAAATACAACTCAAATGACTAAGGTGCCCAACATCCAGCTTTTCCACCAGATCAACAGTTGTTGATCCCAAGATATTTGTCTTACCATGAAATGCCATAGTCTGCAGCAACCGATCAGCTACTTCTTGAGGAAGTCTTTCTGATTCTTTCAAGCACAGTGTTCCATCTTGCCTCTCAGTACAGAACTTCTCTAAGTCAGCAGTGAGCGCTTTCAAACAGATGTCCAGTAGCGAGTACGGAGATGCCTCAGCCTGTCATAAGCAAAAAAAAACCAAACTTGCACACATGAAGACGACAATCAAATTACAGCCATCAAAAATACTTTCACAACGATTAATACAGGTTAAAGCAAAGCATTCTAGCCCCACTACCAATATATAGCTCAACAGATATCACAATGGGAGAGCATTACAGAGATGGAGACAGCAACCTGTTGTGGTAGACTTCAAGAAACCAACCCAACAAGCCCTTCACGCCTTGACATCAATAGAATTTTTATGAAAAGATTCTGCAGGCTCAAACTCCGCACTGCCAATTTTCTTGCTGCATAGCCACGAAAGCATCCAGTCAGAAGTTCTTTTGTTCGTGGATGCTGCTCCAGATAAGTTGTCATATGGAAATGCATTTTAATACAAGCCAGACATCCTCATTCCACCCTTATTTCCAATGCATTGGTAACGTGGCTTTGTTCGATACCAGCATGAAACTTGCAAGCATCGGGATGTAAAGCAGGGATGGAGAACCTTTGGCCTGGGGGCTGGATCCGTCCGCCAGCTTGCCTGGATCTAGCCCCCAAAGCTCAGGGCTCTCTCTCCTGCAGCACTGGGGAGCGACACCCCAGAGCTTGTGGGGGGGAGACGCAAAATCTAACAGCACAGCCCCCCCACTTCCAGGCTCTGGTGCGCTAGGGTGTGTGGACAGTGTCTTTCAGCTTCTCAACCGGGGGCCATGTGAGTTGCTTTCTTGTGCCGCCCCCTACCCCAAAATGTCCCCCCCCCCCATGTAAAGGGCCCGTTACCAAGACCACACCTGTCACGAATCAAACACACCCACTATTTTGGAAAAGCAAAATCCCCCCCCCCCCAACAGTGGGGCCCAAAGCCTGTTGCAGGGCTCCAGCCACCCCCGGGCAGGGGCACCCCGCGGAGCACGGGCAGCGCCCCCCGAGGCTGCGCACCTGGACAGCGGGGCAGTCGCTGCAGATGGGCGGCGGCGCCCGCTGCCGGTTCTGGACGTGCAGGAACCGCACCATGGCGGGCTCGGGCCTGGGGAGCGGAGCGACTCCCCCTCCCCGCCGCCGCCGCGCCGGTCGCTGCCTTGCCGGGCGCGCGGAGCCACCCGCCTCCCTACCGAGAAAGCCCCGCCACGGCGCAGGCGCCGCCCACTCGCTTCCGGGCCCGGCGGAACGAGCTCGGGCCAGGCCGCACGAGCGAGCTCAGAGCGATGGATGCCTCGCGCCGCCTGGGAAGAGGCCGGGCGCGTGGGGTGGCCTCGAGCCCCAGCGCGCTTGGGCCGGGCTGCAGCCCCGCCCCCTGGGGGTGGATCAGGCCCCGCCCATCGACACCCCCCCCCGCCAACGGCTCCAGCTCGAGGCAGGCAGCCAAGCCTCTCAGCGGCCCGCGTCTCCCGCCGGCACGTCCACTCCGCAGACACCCACGTGCCCTGAAATAGCCGGTTCCTGCGGGCCTGCCCCTCCCCCGTAGGGCTGCCGGGCGTCCGGTGTGGGGCCCTCTGTCCGGTAAGAAAAGTCCAGAGAATTCCGGACACGCGCCCTACCCGCTCTCACCTGGATTTCCGGCGGGGCGGGGAGCCCTGGGGGAGGAGGAGAAGCCCAGTCCCTGCCCCTGAGCGCCTGGCGGA